CAATAATATTGATATTCATTCATCATATTCATTTAATATAATAAATATTCACAACATTTCAGAATAAATAATGAATAATTAAGAATGAAAATATTGATTTATTCAATATTTTGATCAACACAAAATCAATAAAACATATATTTTGATAATACACAAATGAAATAATAAAGAAATATACAATACTCAAGAACTAATAAAAAAGAAATAAAAAGAAAGAATAAATGAATATAAAAGTGATAAATAATAGAAGAAAGAAATAGAAAAACAATGAAAAACAAATAATATAAAAAGAATATAAATATATAAAAGAATAAAAAGAAAGTATAATAAAGAATATAAAAAGTAATAAATCACAAAGAGATGATAAAAGAAGAAAAGAATGAAAATGGTGTATTTTTATTGTAAAAATTAGAAATATTCAATAATAAGTGTCTAATTTAATGATTCAAAATAATTAATATTATTTTATTAATGAAAAATATTTTACTCTTTTTTATGTTTATTATTTATATGTATAATTTTCATCATGATGTTTATTATATATTCAATCATATGTGTTATGTTATTATAACATATAATAAGTGATAAAATATAAATGAAAATGATATGAATATATGATATAGAATAAAGAAACAAAAGAATAATAAGAATAAATGATAAATAAAAGGAGAAATGATAATCAATGATATAATAATAAAATCAAAGTATAAAAGATAAATTTAATATTAATATAAAACAAAAGAGAATAAATATAATAATATAAAAATGATAAGAATATAAAAATGATAAAGATATAAAAGATGAATAAACAAATAAACAAATAATAAAATACATCTAGATAGAAAAGAATAACAATAAGAAAATCTAAAGAATATAAACATAAAAAACATAAAACAAGAATAATATAATAATATATAGATAATAAGAAGAATAAAATGATATAAATAATATAAACAGAGAAATAAATATATAAAAATACGATAGATAAATAACATATAAATAAAAGAATATAAATAATTAAAATAATTAAATATGATTCATCAAATCATCTATTTCATTAATATTTCATACAGAATACAATTGATAATAAAATATAAACATAAATATTTATATATTCTGTATTTATCATATTTTTTTATTTTTTTATTTTTTTTTAGGAGCAAAATATAATAAATGGAATATTCTAATGATGCAAAATATTTTGCATCTTTTTTCTTTTTTGCAAATTATTTAGATGCATTTTTTCTTTGCTAATTCTCGTGCTCTTCCATTTGTAGTTGTTAGGATAGCTGGATTATCTATTGTCATGTTTATATTGTATGTTGTATTATTTAATGTATCTTCTTTATTTAATGTTGTTAATGTTGTATGAGAAACTAAAGACATTAAAATGAATAATAAAGATTAATTTAAAGTTTTATTTGTTATTTGAAGAGTTATTGTTTGTTTTTGTTTTTGTTCGAAGTCTATTATCACTTTCTCATATGCTTCATTTTCATTTGATTCAAATGTTAATTGTTATCTGGTGTTAATATCATTGTTTGTTATTGTATAATTTAAATCAAGCAATGTTATATCTTGTTTTTGTTGTTCTTCTACTATTGGAGTGCAAATATATCTATCAAAATGAACAGTGATATACCATTGACAATTGAATTTAATACTTTTATTATCATTGTTATTTGGTGTTTCTACTCCTATGAAGTACCATGGATAAAAAGGAATACTTACATTTTCATTTGTAAATGGTTGAAGTTCAGTATTATCAAATTTCCAATATCCTTTTACTCTAGTAGGTCCATAATAGTTTTGTTCTTGTAATGTCATAGCTTTAATAATTGTATTAATTTGAAATGCTCCACCTGGATAATAGACTTGTTGTTGTAAGTGAGTACTTGAATTAATCATATTAATTACTTTATTTATATCTTTGTCATCTGCAGTGTCTTGATCAATATTGGAACGAATATATGTCGGAAACCATGTAGTACTAACAATAGGAAAATTTAATCCAATTTCTTCTACATTTATTTCACCTATTGAGAGACTAATTAATGCTTTAAATATTTTAACTCTTTTAAAACAATTACAGAATGATTTATAATTTGTGTTATTGAAGAGTAAATCAAAAAGAGAAGTTGTATATACTCCCATTCCTTTATTTAGTTTAACTTCAATTGGGGTATTAAATACAAATTCTACTTCATGTGTATTATTAGGACAGTTATTTCTAGAACGGATCATTTGAATATAAAGATGAACTGATTAATTCATAATATGAGTGCAGACTCCAGTGATTCTAATCACTCGTCTAAATGTACCGAAGAAGTGTTTAAAGAAAGTACATGGAATATTATCCGTAAAATAGTCATGCTTCTATTATCATGTATATTATTAATAGCGAGTTGTTTCTTTGCATTTTTTGAAAGTAGAAGACAAGGGAATGTTATGAATGCAGTAGAAGAAGTATTAGAAGTAGTAAAAACTTTAATTCCTAATTAACTTTTTATTTTAATGTGTTTGGTTAAGAAGAGAAAACAACGATTAAATCTCCATAAAAGAAGATTTGGTTCATATGGTTCAATACGATTTAATTATGATGGAATACCAAGAAGTAATCAAACAAAATATAAACCATTTAATACTTCCATGTATATGAGTGGTAGATTACAGAATAATAATCAAGGAGTATATTATACTCAACCTCGACCAAATAGAAAAGAAACATTAGATGAAATGCAAACACATAGAAAGAGAAAAATGATTAATGATGTAGATGAAGATTTAGAACGATTGAATAATAATCAAGCATATATTAGAAGAGTAGTACCACCTGAATTATGGAAGAGAATTGAAGATGTTGCATTTGAACCAAATGTAGTAAGAAGATATGAAAAGTTGCAAGATATTCTAGTACCAGAAGCTATTACTACTCATTCATCCAAAGATTATTATCATAAAATTCATATTGGTGCAAGAACAAATAGAAGTGATAATAAAGGTACCATCTTTAAACCATCTGATTTTGAAAGAAGAGGATTGCATCAATATTTACATAAACAACCTCATTTTAATAAAATAGAAAGTGGGAAAGAGAAATATGAAATGATGAAGAATGTTTATAATCAATTAGAACGATGGGGAACAAGTGATGATCGTACTGATTATGAAAAGGTATTACTTAGAGTATCACCTGATGATGATAAAATTAATCATTTTAAAACAATAAAAGGAAACATTAAATATTATAATAAAAAATTAATTATCTTCTTTCTTTGGTTTACTTTCTTCTTCTTTCTTTTTATCTTTTATTATAAATCTATTCTTGTATTCTTTTTTAGCTACTTCTGGTGTTTTTACTTTTTTAATCTGTGGTTTATCCCACATTAATCCTTTCTTTCTGGCTATTCTATACACCAAGCTCCAATATGGCTTCTTTAATCCTTTTAATTCATCTTCCTTGGTGTATTCTTCTACAGAGTTTACTAATTTGACCATTGTTTCTATGAGTTCATCTGCATCCATAGATACAAATTTACCCATAGCGTGGTCAGCTATCATGTCTTTAATGGTTGTCATGTATGAATGATTAAACAGTTCAAAATAAATAGTTTAAATACTCAATTTATCTCTTTTCGGAGTACATTATCAAAACTCATACTCGTACTCATATTCTATTTCTGGTTCTTCTATTTCTTCTATATCTTCTTCTCCTTCATTTACATCAACGTTTTCGTCATTATGTTTAAAGTTATTCCAATATTTTTGTTGATCTTGTATTGTCAACTCTTTTGGAATGTCTTCAACTCTTAAATCTTCTTCTTCTTGTTCTATTATTGGTTTAATTTGTTCTGGTAATATATTTTTAGAGTTATCTTTATTAATATCTTGTGTTATATTTGAATAGAGCAATGGTTGTTTAGCATGTTTTCTAATTCTATTTTTGATATTTTTCAATTCTCTTTTCAATTCTTTTAAGTCATCGAAGAGTTCTTCATCTGTTATTTTTGGAGTATTCTTCTTGACTTCTTTGACTTTTCGTTCTTTCTTTTGAATTAATGGCTTTTTAATTTCTTTTTCTTCTTCTTTCTCTTCTATTTTTTCATTTGGTAATGAAGTATTCATTATTTCATTATTTTGATCTTCTTCTTTTTCGTTCAATGCTTCATTTTGTGGAATTTCTATTTTTGTTTCATTTATTGCTTCTTCTCTTTCTTCTTTCTCTTCTATTGGTAAATATTGTTGTAATTCTTCTATTTGTATTCCTCGTTCATAATCTCTCTTTTCTTGATATTCATTAGTATCTTCTAAATGATGTTTTCTTTTGGAATTATCTCTATTTTTATCTATCCATTGTTTAATAGTATTTCTATTCTCTCTTGGTGGTTTAGGTGGTATAATATTTCTATCTGGATCATGTTTATCTTTAATGTATTCTATTTCTTCCATTGGTTCTTCTTCTTTTTCAATGATTATTGGAATATCATCTTCTTTAATGTCTAATAGACTTTTATCTTTTATTATTGAGCCATTTATAATTAGTCCCTGTTCTTGTGCTTTTATCAACTCATCTATATTTTTTCTATTATTTTCTCTTATTATATCTCTTATTTCTAATAAATATTTTGCCATTTCAGCTTCATTTGAAGTATCTATTCCTGCTTTTTGAAGTATTTGTGTAATTGGATTGGTATAAGTTAATACATCTGTGGGATCTTCTGGATTGATTATTTCATAAATTGGCATTTCTTCTTGTACATTTTCTTTTTCATAGATATCCATATTATCATCTGTTTCTATGTTTATCAGGTTTTCATTCTTATATTCATTTATATCAGGATCACTAAATGTGTCTAATTGATTCATTTTCATGTTTATATCTACATCTTCAGGTATTGGAATATCTGTTTTATATATTTCTATATCTGGTTCATAGAAAGTACCATTTTCGTAATCATCTGGATGTAAATCTACATCATCTTCTTTGAAGTAATAATCTTCTCCATTGTCGGGGTCAAAATCATCGTTTATGTAGTTATTGAAGTATTCATTGGTTATACTTCCATAGCTTCCCCATTTTCTTTTTAAAACGTTAGGTCTATACCAATAGTTCATATTTTAAATAAAAATAAAAGATAAAAGAAATAAGTCGATTAAATTATTTTTGTTCTCAATTTAACCTTTTCTTATTTTGTTTTACTTCTGTATCTCATCTTCTGGTAGAGTATTACTGAGATTAGATTCTTCTGTAGTTAGTATTGGTTCTTTTCTCTTGAGAGGTAAATCGAAAACATCTCTTCTTACTACCTCTTCTGGTACATCAGTCATTTCCATATCATTCAGTATTTCATCTAAATAATTATCATCAACATCATCAATATTATTAGTTGGTGGAAGTTGTTCTGGTACATCAGTCATTTCCATATCATTTAATATTTCATCTATATAATTATCATCAATATCATCCATAGTATCAATTGGTGGGAGTTCTTCTTGTAATCTATCATTAGCTGCTATAGCATTAATCAAATTTGGTGGTAGTTCTCCGTATAGTTCTTGCAACATTGCTATTCTATCATCATTATTATTGTTATTCTCAATGTATAATTTCTCTTTTGTAGAGAGTACAACAGTATTCTTATCTAACCAATCTCTGTCTCCTTTATTTCCTGCCATAGTTTGCAATTCTTTAAAGCTTCCCGGGTTTAATACTATGATGGTCGGTACTGTTATTACATCTAAGTGTCCATATTTAACATTTACTCGCACTTTTTCTCCTCTGGTGGAGATCATAGCTTTGAAATCTTCCCAATCTATTGAACTTAGATTGGCATCATCAAACAAGCGAAAGTCATATTCCCTATTTTCATCATGACCATCTATCATTATTCTTCCTCTGAATTCATCTACTTGCTTTTCTTTGAGTAGGTCGTTAATGAATTCTGTTTTACCAAGCTTGGTCTCTGAAACAATTACTAAGGCAGGTGGCCTTTTAATATCTGTTGTTTCCAGAGTATGTATCCATGCTCTTGCTCCCTGGACTACTGGATTTGTTTCTTTCCAGGGATTTAATTTTATATTTATTCTGTGTTTTCTTTCACGACTATGCTGTTTATCGTACATTTCACAGAATTTTTTTTTCATTGTTCATAACCCAGGCTGGGCTTATATTTCTTAAATAGGCAATTGCCTCAGCCTTCGAGTTCATTCTTAGTGATTCTTCTATCATTGTATCACCTACTTTATGCCCCTTCGTTGTTTTTAAATTTCCATATTCTTCAAAGGTAGCTTTTGTGTTGTGTTTCTTGCCTTGATTTTTTATGTATTCAATAATACTCAGATATGAACCGTCGAAAGCATCCAATTTGGTGAATGGACTGAAGTTAATTTTCATTTCTTTTCCGTTTATATTTACAAACGGTTTTCTCATCACATCGGCTTGATTTTCTAGAATAAAGAATACATAGCCGTGTTTATTGTTCCCTTCTACTGTTTTTCCATAGGCCAGATACTTAATATTGGCTTTATTATTCTTCGTGGAGCACCATGAAGACAATGCTTGTTTCATCGTCTGTAATGTTGGTGCTGTTTGTATATTCTGAAAGTTGATATAAGCAAATCCTGCAATTGGTTTGAAGTGATAATAATTTCCCCTGTTTGAATTCATTAATGTTTTTTTTTTGTTTCCGTGGTACCTTTTTATTTTTTTTTAATTTGTCTGTTTTAAAAAAGTGTCTGTTTGAGTCATAGGTTTGGATCTTTTTAATATTTGTTTTTTTTTTCTTTTATTTATTTATACAAAAAGAATGTGCAACGGTAATTCCATTCGTTGTTTATCAGAAATCATGAATGATATCAAAACTGAATTAGATTTGCATTTGAAAAACGATAATTCTTTAAGTGTCTGCTGTTTAGTTTATTCCATTTCTTATTTTCAAAGAAGATAGGCTTTTGAAAATTACAAGTTTGATTCACTTGTTTTGAGCTATTTAGATTTCTTTATTGAGGATTGCTATTCCCTTCTTATTGGAGGTGAAAAACTTGCTAATCTTCTCAATACTATTAGAGATTATGCTTATTATGATGATCTCTCTTTAACTTTAATTAAGTAATTTTAATTCTTTGTTGTTTATCTTTAAAATGGATGATTATTATTATTAATATTTAGTTTTATTAAAACAAAAAAATACATTAATTAAAAAGTAATTAATTACTTTTCTTTTTTAACTTTGATAGCTTTAAGCTCTTCTCTTCTTTCTGCAACATTCCTTCTTATAGCTTTTATTGTTTCTTGGTGTTCTTTTATAATCTTATTAAGAACGATATTCATATCTTCGAGGATTTCAGTTTCTTTGGCACATAATTCGTCGTATCTAATGTCTTCATCACAATAAATGTGCTCCTTTTTAAAGCACTCGAGCAAATCCTCGCAGTAATCTTTAATTTCACCTACGTTATTATGGAAATCGTACAATGTTCTAATATCTATTGCTTCTAGAGGATTGGCTTTTAAATAGTCGTGTATATTTATTATTGACTATATAATAATATACTCAAGATTGGTAGTCTTGAGGTATATTCATTCATCCCGATTTTTGAGTAAAGTCACTGCTATTTTATCGCTAAAATAACTATTGGACAAAATGGGCAATCTGGTATTGCATCTTTATTCTACAGTCCAGTGGTTAGTCTTATAGTAAATCAATAATTTCTTTATAATTATTTTTACTATTATAACCCTGGATCTGTTAATTTTTCTTTTTTACCCTACTTCCCTATAGTTATTTTATCACTAAAATAACTATAGGGAAGTAGGGTAAATTTGAAAGATCCAGGGTTATAATATTAAGTTTAACTAATGACAAAATTAAGAATTAATGTTATATGAGAGAAGAATAATGGGAGTTTACGACACTTTTAGCATTAAAAATCTTTTTTAATCATAATCAGGTTCAGTCATCCCATTCACTGTGTTACTGTGATCCTCTTCACCTTATGATTACGACTAAAACGATTATTTAATTTCTTACGGGTTTATACATCATTTTAATACAGGATATCATTATCCATCATATATTATGTATCAAACAAGATTCAGCTATTTAAACTCGAATTTAGATTCAACCGAGTTATTGAAATAAATGAGACGTACAAGAAGAGCCACGGCTACTAGACCAACTTCAACGAGAAGAAATTTAAGAAGTACTATGGCTGGGAATTTAAAAGCTGCTTTTCAACGGGTACGAAAATTAGCAAAGAAAAAATGCATCTAAATAATTTACAAAAAAGAAAAAAGATGCAAAATATTTTGCATCATTAGAATATTCCATTTATTATATTTTGCTCCTAAAAAAAAAATAAAAAAATAAAAAAATATGATAAATACAGAATATATAAATATTTATGTTTATATTTTATTATCAATTGTATTCTGTATGAAATATTAATGAAATAGATGATTTGATTATTCATATTTAATTATTTTTATTATTCTTTTCTTTATTATGTTATTTATTTATCGTATTTTTATATATTTATTTCTCTGTTTATATTATTTATATCATTTTATTCTTCTTATTATCTATATATTATTATATTATTCTTGTTTTATGTTTTTTATGTTTATATTATTTAGATTTTCTTATTGTTATTCTTTTATATTTAAATGTATTTTATTATTTGTTTATTCATCTTATTCATATTTTATATTCTTATCATTTATATATTATTATCATTTATATCTATTTTCATTTTATATTTATTCTCTTTTGTTTTATATTAATATTAATTTTATCTTTTATATTTTGATTTTATTATTATATCATTGATTATTATTTCTCCTTTTATTTATCATTTATTCTTATTATTCTTTTGTTTCTTTATTCTATATCATATATTCATATCATTTTCATTTATATTTTATCACTTATTATATGTTATAATAACATAACACATATGATTGAATATATAATAAACATCATGATGAAGTTATACATATAAATAATAAACATAAAAAAGAGTAAAATATTTTTCATCAATAAAATAATATTACTTATTTTACACTATTTAATTAGACACTTTTTATTTCATATTTCTAATTTTTACAATAAAAATACACATTTTATTTCTTCTTTTCTTCTTTTATTACTCTTTATCTTCTTTATTATACTTTCTTTTTACTCTTTTATATCTTTATTTCTCTTCTTTTTCATTATTTGTTGTTTAGTTGCTGTAAATAACACATCATGAAGAACAAGTAGAAATAAATAGAAAAGAAGAGAATATAAAAACAGACATATAAAATATAATGTAATATTTAATTCATTTGATATAGATTCAAAAATAAATCAAATAAATGAAGAAATAGTACAAAAAGAGAATAAATAATGAAGAAAATAATAAATATAACTTATTCATAAATAATACAAATTAAATATTATTTAATTCATATTCAAATTAATTGGAATTAAATTAATTGAATAGAATTTATTTTCTATTTAAATATTTTTATTCATTTTATTTAAATTTATTGAATTATAATTATAATTATATCTTTTTATATTATTTTTCTTTGGTACAATTTGATAATGGTGTCATACATCGTATAGTAAGTAATGGGAAAATTCATTCCTTTGGGGATATATAATATTTTATATTTTGTTTTATATAACCAATATTCTATAAATAAATTCATATTTTTATTTTTAGAATGGATACAGATATTTTTGAAGTATGTTAGATATTTTTCTATTTTGAAGTATTATATCTTCGTTATTTTCATAATTTCCTTATTATAGATATTTTTTGATGTAATAAAAGATATTTTATAACTCTTACACTTTTTGAATATTCTATTTTTCTTACATTTTTTGCATCATTATAAATTATTCCACTTTATGCATTTTATTATTTTATTTTTGAAAAAAAAAACAAAAGAATATAAAAATAATACATTTTATGTAATTCTTCATTCAGGAGATATAATAAAAATATTAATAATTATATTAAAATGTTAATAATAAAAATGAAAACAAAATTAGTTTATTTATTCTTTTTTTACTATTTTATAATTAAAATATTTTTATTTGTATGTCTATGTCTTGATGAATGTCCTTTTGGAATGTCTGATATCCTACCCTAGTGTTATTTAAATGACGCTTCAGCAGTAATAGATCATACGATATATGAGTGTAATAAAGGGAAGTTGTTATGAATCACTCAGTGATAGGTTTAAATTACTGTTTTTAATTTTAGAAGACAACAAGTGTGATGAAATGTCAAAGATGATTCAATTTTATTCAGACAATTACGACTTTGATAATTTATATGAAAATTATGAATTTTACCACAACTGTGCCGAGATGCAATACGACACTGTCGAAGTTTTAAAACGGGAGATCATTTCTATCTTAGCAATAATTGACAAAACGAAACGTGTTGGTATTAAAACCTTGAGTCGGGAAGTAATCGATTACCTCCTGCTCTATATTTATGATTGGTGGCTCCGTGATGGCATCTATGATGTTTATGATGTAGCCACGGAACTCTTCAAGCTAGGAGAAGAGAAGCGTTAATTTAGTTAATTCTTTTTTTAATTTAATTTATTTTCTTTTATTTATTTCTTAATGATAAAATAATAATTAAATGATTTTTATCTCTTTTATTTTATTAGTTTTATTTTATTAGTTTTATTTTGATTAAATTTTGATTAAATAATGAATGAAAATAAACATAAAGAATAATAAAAAGAATAGAATTAATTAATGGTTTTACCCCAGCCAGTAAGAGCATTAATTTGCCATACAAGTTTCCAATAGACACTTTTTAATATTCTCTTTTCATTCTCATTTGTAATTGATGGAAGAAGAAGAACAAGTTGAGATAAAAGAGAAGAGGCGACTTGAAGATTTGCAGGGTCAAGATCAATACAAGCAGCCGCCATTAATAAATCTCTTACGGAAGACATGAATGAATGAAAATAATGAGATTCATAATGAATAAATAGTCGAATAAATTGAGTTTTTAATTTATTTATTACCCTTGATGAATGAATAAATCATAAGTATGACGTAAAGAATAATTGAGGAATGAAGAAATATAGAAATATAGTAATAAAATATAGAAATATGAATGAAAAATGAATGAAAAATAGGATATAAATAAGAAATGAAACACAAAATAAAGAATGAAATGATGATATAAATACAACTTAAATAACTTAATGACAAACAAACGATGTCAATTGCTAGTGATAACAACAGTACACAAATGTGTTCGTTTACAGGTGCACCAGAGCTTCCACCATGTCCAACAACGCCAGAACCAATAAATGAAGAAATAAAACCAAAGAAGAATAAAATGAATAATAAAGAAAAGATTATACATTTTATTAAAAGACAAATGAATGATAATGCAATTGAATTAATGATTGACATACTTGAAGAAAATGAGAGATTAAGAAAAGAATTAGAAAGAAATCGAATGTTATTGATTAATGAGAATCGAATGAATGAAGAGATTAGAAATGGAGTTTTAAAAGAAAGAGTTAATCTTCTTTATGCTATTCAATGGGAATAGAAATAATCTAATTTAAATACTTTTTGAACTAATTATTTTAGAATGGAATATTTTGAAACAAATCCACAAGATAAAAATAGCATAGAAGATGAAGATGAAGAAGATGAGATTGGAATAGATAGAATAGAAGAAATGATAGAAGATAAATTATCAGAAATTAAAGAAGGGAATAAAATACAAAAAGTACATCATCAAATCTTCTTTTATTATAATAGTTTGAATATAGTATTAGGGAAACAAGGAACAGGAAAAACAACATTTATACTGAAAGAATTAATAAAAATGAATCATATATAACATTTATATGGGGCTATTATTTATGTAGCACAAAATGCAGGAGAAGATGAAACATTTAAACAATTAAAAGATTTAATTAAAACACCAATATATGGAATGAATTATGAAAAATTTATGCCAGCATTAGTGCAATATTATAAACAAGCACGAGAGAAACATTTATTAATTATATTAGAAGATGCAACATTTGAAATGATGAAAGCGGATAAAACATGGGGAGAAATTATTACAAGATTAAGACATTTGAAAACAACAATTATTGTGAATATGCATATATGGAAAAGTTTAAATGCATCATTTAAAACACAAGTAGCAACTATTATTATTTTTAAAGGATATTCTAAAGAGAATTTTAGTTATATTTTTCGACAAACAGCAGCAAATTCAAGTGGAACAGTAGCATATTATCTTTATTTAGGAATGGATAAGAAACAAGTATTAAAAATAGATAATTTAACAGGAGATGTTAATGTTATTAAAAAATAATTGAATTAAAAATTAAAGTGTGATTTTTAAATATTTTGAAGTATCATCATGAAGAGGATCTGGATGATATTTTCCACCACACCATGTAACATTTTGTTTTCCAACATTAAATTTCCCACATCTTCCATCTTCTTCTGACCAATCTCTAACACATACCCATATATTTCCTAAACAATTAGGAATAACTTTTCCATTAATTAAATGAACAATTGCTATAGCATTGATTTTTCCACCAAAGAAAGAATAATCATTTAATGAAGATAATGAAGTATAAACTAAAATAAAAGAATGAAGATTGAAAGCATTTGGTTCATTATGTGATGATTGTTTTGTTGTCTTCCCTCTTTTTGTTCTTCCAAGTGCATTAAGATCATTAATTGAATCTTTTAATCCAACAGTATATTCTTTTGTAACTGTTTTTCCAACTGACCCATAAAATTTACCAACATTAAATTGATTTTTCTCTGATGATGATTTTCCTGTCTGAATAATAATTCTTCTTTGAAGTGTAATAATAATATTTGATACTAAAAGATCAATAGTATTTAATGATGAATCATTCTCAATTAAATAAAATAATCCATCTCCATTGAATAATTGAGAAGAATTAAATTGAGTTAATTTTGATATGATTGTGTTATTTATAGTAATAATTGATGGTTCTATTGAAGCCTTAATAACTTTAAAATTTGTAAGTGCGGTTAATAAAGCATTTATTCTTGTTTCATTATCATCAATATATTTCTTTACTTCTTCTTTAATTGCTTCATACATATTACCATGTTTATAATCAGTCACTGTAGTTGGAATAGATACATAAACTAAATTTAAAAATCTAGGAGCACTAGTTAAATTTGATGAAGATTTCATAAATAGTTTAATATAATTTCTTATTTTTGATTGTGAAGAAAGATTTATATTTGTATTGTCTGAATGAAAAGATAAATTTTGTGAATGAGGATAATCATATGAATCATATGAATCATCCATTACTATAGATTCACTAGAATCAGTATCACTTACCATTGATTGACTTGGACGTATTGATCGTGTTGGTTTTCGTCGGATTGTGTTTGTTTCATTAGTAGGTGCCCTAATTGGTTTGGTATTCATCTATAAATAATTAGATCAATATGACACATTTATATTGTCAACGATATTTCACTATAACAAGAGAAAATGCAATCGCAGATTTTAAAACATATAAATGGATAATAAATTTACCATGGGAATTTATTACATCAGAAAATTATCCTAAAACAATAGAAGTAATGAATATGGTTTAAAGATTATAAAGGGTATTTTTCCAGTTGGACTTTGGGATGAATATTTTATCTTAGAACTTAATTTACATTATTAAATGGAAGCAATTGGTTCAAAATATTTAAATAAAAATAATATTTTAACAACACGTTATTTCAACAACAACACAATTTATCTTGATAGAATTAAAACAACAGATGGAATAACAACAATTAATGTTAAGAATATAACAACAAATGAAGAAATAGATGAAATGAAAGAGAAAATGAAAGAAACAAATACATATATTAATGATATTCGTGATGATGTATCGCAATTATCAACATTAAATACAACAAATATGAATGAAATTAATAATTTAACAAGTCAATTAATATCTTTATCATCTCTTGTTAATACTTCATTATATTCACCATTTTATTCTAATGAAGAAGCATTATTACAAATGACATCTTTAACATCTTACATTAACACAGAAATATCAAGAAATACAACAATTAAACAAGCAGATATAATTAACACAATTGGAATTAAAGATTTGAAGAATATTACATACACATTTCCTTTATCAACATTAATGTCATGGGGAACTGATTCATCAAAAACTTTTAAAAATACAAGTACGGATCATAAAATGTATATCTTTCAATTTATGTTTATGATAAATAATGATACAGATACGCCAAAGAAAACAAAAATTTACTTTAATTCAAATAGAATTGATTCAGGAAATTCATCCACCATTGATAAATTAGATGATTATAGTTATTATTATAGTAATGGATATATGATATTCACATCTAGAGAATATGTTCGTACTGTTGGAGTATATGTATTAAATTATATTGATGGAACACTCACATATAAAGATTCAGTAGATATAGTTCAATCATCACCAAATCAAAGTTTTATTTATTATATTGATTCAAAAACACCATTTGACGTTTGGAATGATGACGAAATAAAGAGATGAACAATTTAAGAAAGAAATGAATTAATTTTAATTTTAATCTGTTCCTGTTTTTTCTTTAACAAAATATTTGTTATTACAAATATATTCACATCCTCCTTGAACAGTACATCTCCAGAAACAATCTTGACATACAAGCATAATTTGACATCTATCATTTATATCTTCTATCCATGGATTTTTCAAATATGGATGAAGTTGTTTAAATGGTAATACTATCACGGCTTCTGTGTTTAATATTTTATATAACAAACAATAGTGCTGTTATGGATCGTTTTTAATAAGATTGAAAAGAATAATGGAGATAAGAAGTATCTTAAAAACAATTTTATCTCTAGATAAAAAGAAATCAAATATTTGTTCTTAATTTGTTTAAATTTAGTATAGAATGTTAATTCAAAATGTCCCATTCCACTTATTATAGGAGTGGTGTAACGAATATCCATTCCATGTTGTTCCACTTTTTTGTTGAATAGCTTTATCAATAGTTAATTTATCTACTACATCAATTCCATTAACTGTAAAGAAATAGCCAAATTGAATATGATCAAAGTCTGTAGAGTCTCGAATAGCATAAGAATACCTTTGTAAATTATCTGGAATAGTAAATGGATATGTCTTCATAGTTCAATTATATTTAACATATCTCATTCTTTTCTTCTTTGTTATTTGTTTGTCTAATTTATCTGTAATTGTTATTCCTGTTTGTGTAGGTTTATTGTTATTATTTATCTCATCTATTTTATCTTGTAGATATTGTTTAACATAGAATTTAAATGGTTTAGTCATATCATATACTTTATATGTCTTAGTCTTAGTAAGTCAATAATCAAATGTTTTTATTTTATATCTAGTATCTTTACAAACATTACTTTCTACAACACTAGAATGTTCAGTTGGTAAATCATAATTATAATAATTATCTTTTTCAAATAATACATGCATATTAAATGTCATTTGTGGATCATATAATAATCCAGTTTGATCTTTATCATAATTAAATGTAGATAAACTAGTTGATTTTGTGTCTTCTGTCAAATGAGACAACGCCTGAAGTAACAATTCAAGTAATAGACTTAACACAATGTTTAACACTTTTAGGAGTATAAGGTAAAGCAACATATGTTTTTACTTTTGGTATCTATTTGACTTTAACTCAACTAAACTTCAAATATTCATACATCTTTTCATATGAATCACATAAATTACAATAATATCATGTTCTAAATATGGATTTCATGCTATCCATGTTTGTTGTTGTTTTGCTAATTGTTCAATTCTTAATATACTATTAGCAGTATCTATAGATACATTAAAATGTTTTTGTTGTAATACAGAAAAATCAGCAACAACTTCTTGAACAACAGTAGCAATACCATTATCACTTTTAGTAGTATAATTATCCATTGTTAATATATGTGGTAAGCTATCTCTTACAGGTAGAGCAGCAAATTCTACAATTGAACATAATATTTTATTTTTTAATTTAATAGTATTTGGTTGTGATGATAACTGGCATAGTCTATAATATCTTTTTCTATATACACATCGTTAATATGCACGCATACCATGGAGAGAAGTAGGTTTTTCTTTGTTGATTTTTGATGGTTCTTCTCTTTAAACGAGCCACATGAATTTTTTTTGATGAAAATGATGTTTAAATACATGATGAATCACCACATTATGAATTATTAATGAAATTTATAAAAATAGAACAGAAATAGTAAATTATACTATTCCAAGGTGACACTCTGCCAAGTAGAAGTTATTTCAGTAACTGAGTTAGCAGATTCTTCATCTTCTAGATGGATTACTTCCATCCTTCTTAGCCAGTGATTATTTTGATCATCAGACTTTAAATCAGCATAAATACTTCTATGGGGTTGTACACTAGTAATATAAATCTTTTCGTATCTATTCATCACATAACCCTTTAATGTTCAATGGACTTATGTAATAATCTATAAACCGGATGAATACAGAAAGCTTCATGTAGATCTCAACTTTTGACTTGTATATATCATCAGTCTTCATTGAACAAAACATCATCTTGACTTTTTCCAGCTTTTAAGTAGTAAGCTAGGATTGTCTCGGGATCATCTATTTCTAACAGATCATTGACAGTCTTGATAGAACGTCCTTCCACATGACATTCCTCAATTTCATCAATGATGTTATTACATTTTTTATGTAATCAATGTTTTGTTTATTAGAGCCACAGCATAGTTCTATTTGATCCCACAACAATACTCTGGATTAAACCTAACTGTTTTTGAGAAACAGGCAAAAATGTGAATGTGTTTATGATTAGTAGTTGGAGCAGTCTCTTTCCATGAGATAAGACACTTAAAGTTAGGAATTGTCAATAAAAATTCTTTAACTTAGGCATATTCTTCAGGATGATTCAAGGTTAGCTGGAAGTATCCAGCAATAGGTTTCACTTATAACATATGTAACATGTTAAACTTGTAATACTAACAATCCACAGTCAGTTTTATAGATCTCGCCACATGTTAAGCAGAATATAGATAGGACAATATTATAATAAGATAGTTTTTTATTATTTTATTTATTGAATCTCCACTTATCGTCATTCATACCTAGTCTAAATTTCTCACTAACCAAAATTAAGTCAGCATCTATCTACAATATTTTTCCTCTTTTTTGTTACCGTTCGACAAATCAATATTATTCTTTTTTGTTATTATAATATTTTGTTGTTGATACTTCTTTTTATAGAATTAGGTAGGCTAATTACATAACTACTTATTTTCTTCATCATTTCTTAGCCATATATATTTTGTAAATGAATTTAGGAAAATATGAATAAAACAAATGTTGAATATATTTTATTCTAGAAATTTATTTTACTTTCTTATACTTTCATTTGTTTTATATAAGAAAATGAAGAGAAATTGTGACAAAACACTTGTCACATGTCGGTATTTTGATATTTTTTTTTCTTATTAATTCTATGATGAGTAGTAAAAATGTAAAATCTGAAAATGTTAATATTGATGAATCTAAAAATATCAAAAAAGATAACACTTCATTAATAATAAAAATAAACATGAGAAATACACAAATATATTATATATAAAAAGAGATATAAAGCAAATAATGTTTAGAGAAGAATGGATGATGATAAAACATTATCATAGTCATTATTTTTTCTACAACAACATTGTATTAAGACATTTTAGAAACAAAATAAACTATGATTAAAAATGCTCAATTTAGACAACACCAATATATTCTCTTCCAATGAAATATTGTTCAAGAATTACAAACATCCTACTAGATATTCTAATTTCTTCTTTTTATTTTAATCTCCTTTTCCATTCTTCAAATGTCAAACAATAACTCAAGATTTCATTCAAACTATGTCTATAGAAGACTAGTCTTCAATGAGAGTGAGAATGATGATTATAACATTCTTATGGTTTATGAAATTTGTTGTACTTGTACATAAAACACATTTCTGACTATGAAATTGTCATCCCTAATTATTCTATTCATAAAAATAGTCAAATTACATTTGAAAATAACACATTTATTGTTGTTGAGAATCAAAATGAAAGAGAAATATTCTTTGACTCATTTGATGATGATAACCACTCTATTCTAATCGAATTCATTCTTTTTATTATTTTCGTTTTATTCATTCTATTTTTCTCCAAAGTAAATAGTATCTATACACTAAGAGATAATACATAGAGGAAAATTAAATATAATTAACTTATTAAAATTTATTCAATTATGTTATTCATTTTATTAATCTAATTAATTCTCATCTGTATGAACTATTTCAATTAATTTATTGAAATTATTTCATATCTATTCTTAATTTCAAATAATTCTTCTGAATTAAATGTAGATGTAATTATTAATGTATAATTAACTGGATTAATTACAATATTGTCTTCTTTACTACTTGTTTGTACTTCAAAATTATAATAATCTCCACATGTAAATATACTGTTTTAATATATTTAACATTGTTTTTATCAATGTCATCTAATAAAATTACTTTTTGTTTTTTATAATTTCTCCATATTTTACTTGTACTTTTATTATATGGAATTAATTGCCTTATTCTTTTACACATTTCATTACCTGTTAATGTCTTTCCTGTCACAGTCTTTCAAAACAAAAAGATGTTCTTCCTTTCTATTCCCTTTCTTACCGTCGCTTCATTTATACATCCTTTCTCTATACTCATCTTTGTTTTTTTCAGTTCTTATTTCTTTAAATATTCAATGTCTACTAATAAAACCAACATTCATCAGAAAATTGAACAATGGTTTAAAAAGACAACAAAACAAAATATATTGAACAACTTAGAAAGTCTATCACTGAATGAAATATTCATACTGATATTTATTTTTATATCACTTAATTCAACAAATCTATCAATTTCAAATTGTTCTTACTGATATTGGTGCTCAAAGAAATAACAATCACATCATGTATCCTGTTTGTTCTGTTTATTTTAAAAGAGATATTAAAACACCTTTGAATATATCTATTTACAAACAACTCACTACAAATTTAATTTCTTTAAATAGACTTAAAGGTTATAGATACTCATTGGAATCAACTTTCAAATATTTGTGTCAATTCTTGACTAATGTTATGATTATTATTAGATACACTTATCATGAAGGAATTTTCTCTATTAACTTTAACTTCAGAGTTTATACTCAACAAAATACTTTCATTTCTGAACTTAAATCAAAGGATGATTTAACTCTATTTGTTCATAATCCTGCCATCACTATATTTAATCGTCTCAAAACACATTTCACTCATACTAATAATCTTGTTGTTTTACGAAATCAACTCATTAACACTCTACTCATCTATCAGAATAATGTTGGTCTATTTGATTCTTAAATGATTCATCTCTATTGACTTCAGAAAAAGGACTTCCTAAAGTCAATCAAATTGACACTTTTAATTTCACTGTTGATAATTTAGTTGCTCTAAATGTTAATAATCATAATCCTAATCAACCTGTTGTTCAAATCGATGATTTCTTATTCACAAATATTCAACATACTTTACTATTAGTTTCTAATTAATGTTTTATTATTTCTTTATTTCTATGAATCTATAGTTTTTTTCTTTTCATTATGAGTCTCACAAGTGCTAATAACACTAATAGTAAGAAACAATAAATTAACATCCTCACTTATCATGAAAAACTTAGATGTGACTTAGAAAGTAGAATTAATCTTGAGAAACAAAACCAAAAAGATGTCTTTGAATTTATAGATGAGTATTTTGATCAGAACAAAATATTCAATTAGAAAGAATGAAAACAATGGGTTCTAAAGATTTAGTTAAAATATTTAGTCCTCCTATTAATGTAGACTTCTTGAATAATATGTTTAATGAAAATCTTCTTTCTGCTGTTATGTATAATAAAATTCTTCAATTTAATCAATCACATGTCATTAGAAAATTAAATGAGTTGTATGTCGATAAAAATATCTTTGATATCCTTCAATTAAACAGTATTGAATTGATTAGACACTTTAATATAGATAGTAACATCTTTCTAAAATGGAAACACAAGGGAAATAAAATAATGTGGTTACATACTCCTGTTTGTACTTTAATTCTCAATAATCTTCTTAGGCCAGGAAGTTGGGAAGTAATTGAAAGAATAGAAAGTAATGAAAAGAATGAGATATTCAGTATTCATGGGAAATTAGTCTTATGGTTAGGAAATGGTACACATTATGAAACGGATGGGTATACCACTAAATTCTTTGAACAAAAAATTACTTCTTCAAATTATTACAATGCTATGAAATCTCATAGAACATGGTTTACTCTTCTATTATTGTCTCAATCTTTTCGATATTTTCTTTCTATTAATAGTGTCAATGTTGAAATAATGGAAAATATAGGTCAAACTGAAATATTCTTAGATGAATTAAAAAAGAACAATCACAGTCTAAAATGTATAGAACCTATTCTTATTGAACAGTCTCATCACTTGAATCAAAATGATGTTAAAGAGATTCGTTTGAATGAGGATGTTGAACATTCTAATTCTAGTAGTACTATGACTACTCATACTTCTATGATTGAGAAGATTCCGTTAAAAGAAACTGATGAATCTATTAAGATTATAACAGTCAATGATAATGCTACTCATACTATTAATTTATTTAACAATGAAAATGATAACTTAGATGATTTTTAAATGAAATAATTGATGAAATTAACGAAAAATAAATGAATTAATTGATTATTTCTTCTTATTTAGTGTTAAATCTATTTCTTGTCTGTTCATTCCTTTTTCTTCTTGTTTAATCATAACATAACCTAAATATCTAATATCATTAATACTTCATAGTAATCCTTTAAATGGGGATGAATCATTGATGTAATACATCATACGCTCAAAGATAAAGTCATACAAGTTAGTAAAGAGCCATCAATCGAACAATTTGTATCATTATCTCTTTTATCATATGGAATATATTAATCATTTCATTTGTATTTTTAACTCTAAAGAATGTTTCAATTGCCACTACATTAATAAGATCTTCCTTTCCAAATACACTATAGATATCTCCATAATTCGTTTCAATTATAATAATCATTTTGTTATGTGAATCATATTGTTGGAGTCGATTTCTTGCTCCTTGAATTTCATTCATCATTTCTCCATATTCACTATCTGTAGCTTTTTCAAATAGAATTCCATCTACATTCTTCTCATCTTCTTCATTAATAACCAATTTCTTTTCTTCTTTATACTTCAAATTTATATTATTGTAATAATCAATGATATATTGATAAGGCACGAAAATTAGCAAAGAAAAAATGCATCTAAATAATTTACAAAAAAGAAAAAAGATGCAAAATAATTTTCATCCATAGAATATTCCATTTATTATATTTTGCTCCTAAAATAAAATAAAAATAAATAAAAAATATGATAAATACAGAATATGTAAATATTTATGTTTATATTTTATTATCACTTGTATTCATTTTGTATGAAATATTAATGAAATAGATGATTTGATTATTCATATTTAATTATTTTTATTATTCTTTTCTTTATTATGTTATTTATTTATCGTATTTTTATATATTTATTTCTCTGTTTATATTATTTATATCATTTTATTCTTCTTATTATCTATATATTATTATATTATTCTTGTTTTATGTTTTTTATGTTTATATTATTTAGATTTTCTTATTGTTATTCTTTTCTATTTAGATGTATTTGTTTATTTGAATATTCATCTTTTATATTATTATCATTTATATCTATTTTCATTTTATATTTATTCTCTTTTTATTTATATTTATTTTATCTTTTATATTTGATTTTATTATTATATCATTGATTATTATTTCTCCTTTTATTTATCATTTATTCTTATTATTCTTTTGTTTCTTTATTCTATATCATATATTCATATCATTTTCATTTATATTTTATCACTTATTATATGTTATAATAACATAACACATATGATTGAATATATAATAAACATCATGATGAAGTTATACATATAAATAATAAACATAAAAAAGAGTAAAATATTTTTCATCAATAAAATAATATTACTTATTTTACATCATTAAATTAGACACTTTTATTTCATATTTCTAATTTTTACAATAAAAATACACTTTTTATTTCTTCTTTTCTTATTTTATTACATCTTTGTGATTTATTATTTTTATATTCTTTCTTCTTATACTTTATTTTTATTCTTTTATATATTTATATTCTTTTTATATTATTTGGTTTTCATTGTTTTTCTATTTCTTTCTTCTATTATTTATCAATTTTATATTCATTTATTCTTTTTATTTCTTTTTTTATTATTTCTTGAGTATTGTATATTTCTTTAATATTTCATTTATATATTATCAAAATATATGTTTTATTGATTTATGTTGAATAAATTATAGAATAATTCAATATTTTCAATGTTAATTATTCATTATTTATTCTGAAATGTTGTGTATATTTATTATATTAAATGAATATGATGAATGAATATCAATATTATTGTTTATTTGATTTTAAAAAATAATAAATGAATATGAAATAATAAGAAATAAAATAATGAAGACAATGAAATGATAATGAAATAGAATAATCTAATATTGAACAAATCAAATAAAGAATATATTGAATATATCATTATTGTTACTTTATTATTTATTATTTCAGATTATTAAATATTAATAAATTATTATTCATGAATATTTAATTGATTGATATTTTA